TGTATATATATTATAAATCCACATTATAATTCCATACGTTTACATCCGCATTCCAATTAGGAGAAGTTCCCGGAGATGAACGAAAAGACCGTTCGGAGCCACTTGGGTCGATTTGGTATCAACGGAAAGTATGTCTCAAAGTGCCACGGTATCGGAACAGAGTGAATGCACTGTTTAATTTTATTACACTTTATTCGTCGGTTTATTGGTATTTACCATACAGCTGACGTCAAACGCTTTGCAACAATATGTAAGTACGCATCCTATAAGGCTACTATTCGTCCTTAGAACAAACTGGTCTACGGCTTGACACACCCATGTCCTCTGCACCAAGGGAGCAGTGCGGTATGGCCGGATATCTATCAAACGTTTTCGTACAACCTAACGTTGCACACGCTAGCCAACACAGTTTGTATTCGAAAGTTATGAAACGCTTATGTGTTGATACGACGTGTTCCAAATTTCGCAGGTCGATTACCCATTTTGCCCCAATTTTCACGCAGATGACCCAAATGTACAGGAAAAGCACCAATATTTCCCCAAATTCGTTATTTATACTCAAATCACGAAACACTCCTTATTTTGTGTGACCAGCTACAGCATATCTACAGATTGCGCACAGCAGTGTTTCTCATTCATTGGTGATTAGCGGCGCACTAGTTGATCTATCGGTTTCAACAGATAGCTCACAAATCTAATTATTTCAACGTACATCACAGACTGCCGACCAATACTGAAACAACTGAGCGCCTATTCCAATCTGTTGCATAGATTGGCGACATATGTAATCCACTCTTCGCATTTCACATTCAGACTGCCAATCCAGTCCTAAAAACAGAGTTTTCAACAACTTTAGCGTCCTACTACTTAATCCATCCCTTGCCAGACATAGGCTACAAATCTGATCCGCCAATCATATGTCACAGATGGCCCAGGCAACAGTATCTTCGAGAGTGTCGCATTTTGGTATTGTATCCATTTGTCTTCCACCACCCTTTCCTAATAAGTCTTTCAGTACATTATAGGACATGTTTTGGTGTTATCGTTTCAAACTATATTATGTCTAACTTTATTGCACTCAAATAATATATGTATATCATCCCTCCCTAACATGTTATGGAATTATCGTTGCCTACAGTTCTAATCTACCCCCTCGTTGTTCACAGATTGCCTACAAATCCAATGCAAACGCTGAGCGGAGGCCAGAGAGTGCGGGTCGCGTTGGCAACTGCGTTCATCCGACCGCCACATATACTGATACTGGATGAGGTGACGAATCATCTGGATATAGAGACCATACAGGTGCGCTATGGGCTCAGAAAAGCCAAATATTTGTTAGCGCTATAGCATCAGAAATGCCGAAGATTTTTATCCATCTGCATGTATCGAGATTGTGTACAGATCACATCAATTTTGAATCATACGGGGTATTCACTCCAAGATAGATTTTAAATCATCAGCATATCACATGAGGTACACAACCCTAGATCCATCTCCTGACCCAGGCCTGCCATGTGCGTGTATGTAGAATGTGATGTACGTTTTTGTTCTGCCACCATCATATTTATATCTCCATGGATCTACACAATCCATTTCCTGACCCAGGCCTGCCATGTGCGTGTATGTT